ATCATGGGATGATAAAAATAAAAACAGCTCATAAAATGACCTAGCAAAAGAACACGTACACGTATAATCACATTTAGGAAGAATGTGTGCTTGTACGAACAGCCAGAGACATGTCAACAAGATGAGGACTTGAACTGAGCTGATATTTTATTAGAAGTGGTAAATGGGGAGGACCTGCAGATTGAGTGTTAGGACATTGCTCCTACCTGTACACTACATCATTTATTTCTCTAATGTTCCCCATACTTGCTTACTTGGTTAGTCCTGTTCTCTTCCAAAATCATCATATACCTCTCTCTTCCTCAACTTTCCTTATTCTATGCCCCGTTCTAAACTGAATGACTACTTTTCCCTGCCTTGTTCCATCGTCTTCTCTTTTTTCTTAATTGTTAGTTATAGGTCACCTATGATGACTTTCTAGTCAAGAAGAAGCGGGGTAAAAAGAGATTGGAATAGAACAGATAGTGTGAAACTGATTATACAATAGGAAGTAGAAAGTGGGGGAGCAGAGAGTATAAGGTATGAAAAAGAGGTAGGTGGGTAAGGACTTTGGAAGAATATAGAGGACAGATATGTAATAGGATGCAGGAGCAGGGAAGAAAGATATTTTATGGAAAGGGAAGAAGAGGGATAGCAAAAGATCACAGGAAGACAGAGATAGCTTTGCTGGGAAGGAGTTTAAGAAGAAGAAAAAAGGTATGTACTGTGGAAGAGATGTCCTAAAATGGGTACCAAATACATGACGATGCCATAGGATTAACATACCCCTACTGCATACTAAAAATATAAAGAAGGGATTGTTCAGAGGGCACATTAAAGTTCCACAGCATACATTTGTTTTGACAGCATCCTCATACCGCTTAATCAGACCCCCAAAGGTTCCTACATAAGATACCAGTTTTCCGAATGTCAGTATTTGAATATAAACAATAAAAAACAGTGCTAACATTTACAACAAGAAAATATTAAACATAAGACTATATACAGTATCAAAGTCCATAATAGTCCAAAGTTCATCTATTCTATAAGTTTTGTCATAAGTGGATGTGAACGTGCAAACACTCCATTAATCAAAAAGGTGCATACAAATAGCCACAGTTCATCCGTTAGCTAGATGTGCATTCACCCACCAGAGAAGAAACTCGTCCACCATGTAACACCATTTACAGAAGCCTCTTACCAAATAGGATGGACCATAAAGCTTTAAATGGTCAATCACGCTCTAGTTGTGTAATCATCCAATGGCTTCCTGGTGGACACTGAGTAACGCCCCTCTGCTTCCAAGTGATACCATTAGAGAAAAGAATATACTTCCATTGTGAAGTATGCTGAAACATGAATTTTTATTTAGATCCAACAGTTGCACTCATGTGTCACATATACACCATTTAACATCACAGCCTCATCACTCAGGATAGCAATAGTAAGCTGATAGCTTACATTGGACACTGGATTCCAACAGGATACGTGATGATGTCTTGTCTTGGTTTGGGCTTGAGATTAGGCACTAAGCATTGCACTATGGATGGCTACTCTACCCCTACCTGAAAGGTTGGGTTTTTCAGCAGTATTCTGAAGGGTTATCATGCATAAAAATATTACTGCTCAAAGCAGTCTTACAGATAATCCACCAGCCACAGATGCATACTGGGATCCAATTCCTCCCTGCACTATCCAGATACAAATCAACAGGCTGAACGTCTGCTGTTTTCTCTAGATATTTAACATGTGCTATTGCTAATCGTGTAAACTCACAAAGCCAGACTGTGGCACACGGCTCACTGCCAGACCCAACAGTAGCTTAGTCATGAAGGTAGCATAATTGTATTATGGTATTAGCAATAAAGATTTTTTGGATATCAAGACATAAACAGTGTAGGTGCAGCTTGTTTGTTTGTAACAGTATCCTGCAAGGGGTGAGCTATAAGAGTAAAGATATGAAGTTGTATACTATGGTGGCATTGTATCCTATGTAGTACTAGGATTAATTTATATTTCTTGTATGCAGTACAGCTTTACTGATTGCTGATCAGTTAACAGGGTAAAAAGGAAAACATACAGTGCATCTATAAAGCATCCTAGTGATCTAGTCGAGTAATGACTGAATTCCACTGTGACTCACACTGTTTTATTATAATTACATTGGTTTTTCAAAATTAGTCTCTACATTAATACAACTGCTTGGGGGAGATAGAGTAGTATTTGGTGTACATTTAGGATATGGCTGCAAAATATGTTTTCAAATAGTAATTTATAATGCCTGAGTATACCTGTTTACACACAGAACAGACATACCAGACACAAGATTATCAGGAAGGAAACCTCACCATTGAATCATCATTAATCCAAAAGTGAAGGTTCCTGCAGACAAAATGCCAGTTATCTAATGTTGATCAGAAACTTAAAGTAAATTGTTAATGAATGCTATGCACCATGAACTTGTCAGAATTCACCTGCATTTTGCTCTAGTTTTCCCACATTAGGCAAAGAAACAGGTTTACTTCACTAAGGGGAATTTTGATAGGGCTTGCCCCCCCCCCCCCCCCCCCCCCCCCCCTGCACAAACTGCAACCAGCATAAGCAAAATCCAGGTTCACTGTAAACATGTAGGAGGGAAGGTTTACTGTTCTATCCCTTGTATCCTAAAAGTGAGGTCCCAGTTGGGTTTTGAAAAAGATAATAATGCTATAGAAAACTTCTTACACCTTACGGTGTACACTAAGGTGCACACTAAGGTGCAGTATTTATAGTTTGTTAACTTGTACTTGGTTGTAGAGTCACTTTACAGAATCTAACATGTCAAGGGAAGGAAAGCCATATACTGTAAAGGTATGTAAGCAACCCATCAGTCTATACTATTTGTGAGGGATTGTTCTGTATGTATATTTTTTTTATTATTATTTTAAAACAACTTTTTGTCCTTTCTAAACCAAATATATGTCGTCCAGCAAAAATTATTTGTTTTATAGAAATATTAGGGTAAGCAAGAATGTCAAATAAGATGCATTTCCCAATAAAACCATTTAGCTGCAATGCAAAAGGTAGCATCAACTAAACTACAGCTCTGTTCAAAAAGAAAAGAGGAGAAAAAAATTAAAGCTTTCAATGTTTTATAAATAGACATATTCTAATATATTTCTCAAACATTCCCAGTACTGTTCTGCCTCTAGGTACAGCAGTGCAGCTTTGCTGAACTTCCTTTAGGGGATCGTGCTTACTAACAGAGGGGCAGTCAGGTGCCAGAAGATGTCTATCAGCAGCTTAGTTTAGGTTGGAGCAGGGGCATGGCTTGCAGATCCAAGGCTTATGGGCTGTATGTTTGCATTGACGCACACAGCATTGCTCTAATCTTGGTGGAAGCATGCGTACAAGTGTAATTTCACCCTGTAAGGGTTCAGCCACCCTGACATTTTGTAAACCTCAGAAACTATTCCTTTATTTCAGTGGTTATTTAAAAATGTTGGTTGGACAGTGTCTAAATTCAAAACTATTTATCTAAAATACAGCCAGGTGTTTCAAAACAGATTGTTTGTTTTTACCAGGTTAAGATATTTAAACTATGGCTTTTATTGCATAGAGCTTAGGGGAAAAGACATAGATCCACCATTAATGTTAAGATGAGGTTTGAACATTCTTCAGTTCCTGAGGTTCCCCTAGAACTTTTTTTGGATGACAAGGTCATTTTGTACCCTGCATTTTTATTTTATTTTTGCATTTAAAGATGATCCTAACATATTATGCAAGTTTTTTCTATGGACAGATGTGGATTGAAATTTGTTAGTGATCTGATGTTTTGCTTATAGTTATCAGCAAGCAATAAATCAATACTGCATTAATCTGGTGCTAAAGTGGGAAGCAGAGCTGCTCCATGATGGTCACCAAATGCAGAAGCCTTTTGATTACTTTGTGCTGTTGAGTACTACTGCAAAGTGCTGAAGAGTTCATCACCCAGCTTGTGGGCTTCTTATCCCACAAGATGGTTGATGAACTCCCATGCTGATCACTGAACCCTGACAATCACTGCCAGCCCTGCATAACATGCCTACAGCTACAGAAACACAGCTGCCTCAGCAATGCTTCCCACTGGTATTTAGAATTTCAGTGATTGCATTGCACAGGCCACAATCACATCTCATCATAGATCTCAAATTTGGGAACACGACAACCCTTTCTAGCTTATACAATGATGTAAGGAAGGAATAAAGAAAGCAATCCTAAAACAGGTTCAGAACTACCCCATCTTCAGAGCTATGACCAAATACTATTACTATCTTTACCATTCTGCTACAACACCAATGCTGGCCATAAAATAACACAAAGCATTACACTAGAAATACTGTGATGCACAGGAATCATTCTTGAATCAGAAGAAATTTACAGTCAGTAAAACACATCTATTTAAACAATTTGGACAGCACAAATTGATTTTCAGAGCAGAATAGTTGTAATATCAGACTACTAAAATAGACATTTTTTAGAATCCAGTAATAGGAAAAAATTTTACGTATGTGGGTTATACATAGCAAAATATTATACATAATGAACCAAATATAAAATACTAGACTAAGAAGCAGCTCTGACCTGTCTAATACAATAGATCATAGTTATGTATTTGACCGCGTTGACATGGTATTTACGTACTAGCCCCACATCCACTATAGTATGGCAATACAATTGGAGAAAATTGGTATATCAAATACATGGAAGCTGATTTTCCACTCCAGTTTTAGTAAGTAACCCTGGAGCAACCCTGCACAGAAACCAATCAGCTTTGAGGTTTTATTGCCACAAGCTGAAGTTAGAATCTGATTGGCTACCAGGCACAGCTGCACCAGATTCTGAGTGCACCAGTTTTAGTAAATCTCTCCCATTGATACCAGGATGCCAAAGGCTGGAAATCTCAGAGGACCCACAAATATTCATCAGATGTAAAACCCTTCTGCCGAATGGCAGAGGTCATACCAGTTCCTTCAGGTAGGCAGAGTATTATATACATTAGTTCAACTATAAAAAGTACTTACTGATGTGTATAAGTACCCATCACTGTTCATTGCCAGATATAATTTTGTTTGAACGCCTTGAATAGCCACCACTCGTAGGCCAACTGGTATGAGGTTAAACAAAGCTGAAAGAGCAAAAGATAAAAATAAATAACTAAGCATATTTAGATCAGTTTACTCCATGCGCTTAAGTATTTTCAAGCATTGCAACTAGCTTCATAATGGAGCCTCTTAAAAGCATCAAGTAGCGATAAGTGATCCACTATTTCATAGTGACAGTAATTTATCACTATATGTGATGCACATCTACTATTAATGTAAAATGCTGCTGCCAAATGAAATAAGCAGATATAATTTAAAACAGACCAGCGCTACATTAAACTATCATAATAATAAAAAAAGATGTGTAATTATTTGTCTTCTGTCGAATAATTTATTGAAACTCATTCCCAAGAGACATTTATTCAAAGCGTAACATTACTTCCTTAAACCTAAAGACAAATCATTTTGATTTTACAGCTAAAACTGTTATTTATTTGCAAAGTTGTGCTGCCTGTTTTCTTTACAGTGAAATAAACCTCATGAAATATCTCCAGTACTTTTATTTAAAGTAAATCTGTCAGTACGTTGGGTAAGGCTCTTACATACTGTATGTACCATTTAAGCAACCTGAGTCTGTGTGGGGTTTATTTACTAAAGCTGGTTCACTCAGAATCTCGTACACTTCTGCATAGAAACCAATCAGCTTACAGGTTTTATTGCTAAAGTTTAATTGAACAAACTGAGGTCAGAAGCTGATTGGCTACCACACACAGGTGCATGAGATTCTGAGTGAACCAGCTTTAGTAAATAAAGCCCGGTGTGCCTACTTAGATATAATCAAGCCTTTGATAATATATTTATAAACAATATAGGGTCTGGCATTAAAAATACCGTTTTAGTCTTTGCAGATGACACCAAGCTGTGCAGTGGAATAACATCCTTACAGGATGTCTCCAATTTACAAGCCAACCTCAATACACTTTTAATTGGGCAACTATGTGGCAAATGAGGTTTAATGTTGATAAATGTACGGTTATGCACTTGGGGGCTAAGAATATGCATGCATCATACATACTAGGGGGGGTACAACTGGGGGAATCAATGGTGGAGAAGGATCTGGGGGTTCTGGTAGATCATAAGCTTAATAATGGCATGCAATGCCATGCTGTGGTTTCCCTCATCTGGAATATGCAGTTCAGTTTTGGGCACCGATTTACAAAAAAAGAACACTGGGGAACTAGGAAAGTGCAAAGAAGGGTGACCAAACTGATAAGAAGCATGAAGGAGTTCAGCTATGAGGAAAGATTAGAGGAACTGAATTTATTCTCTCTTGAGAAGAGGAGATTAAGGGGGAATATGATCAACATGTATAAATACATCAGTGGTTCACACAGTGAACTCAGAGTTATTCACCCTGAGGTCATCACAAAGTATAAGGTAGCACCCTTTACATCTGGAGGAAAAGAGATTTAATCTCCAAATACGGAAAGGTTTATTCACAGTAAGAGCTGTGAAAATGTGGAACAGACTCCCTCAAGAGCTGGTTCTGGCCGGCTCAGTGGATTGCTTTAAAAAAGGCCTGGATTCTTTCCTAGATGCACAGAATATAACTGGATACTAACATTTATTGGTAAAGTTGATCCAGGGAATATCCGATTGGCTCTTGGGGGATCAGGAAGGAATTTTTTTTCCCCTACAGTAGCAAATTGGATCATGCTTTGCTGTTTTTTTTTCTTTCTTTGGATCAATTGTGGGTATAGGATTATAGCTTTTTTTTATGGTTGAACTAGATGGACTTTTGTCTTTTTTCAGCCAGACTAACTATGTAACTATGATAACAGGCACAAAGCAGTTTCGAGTGGTACAACTCAATGGAACCTATATGCAGTGTTAAAGATTTAATTGCTGATTACAAGAAATTAAAAAGCAATAGGAACTCCATCTTAGATTGTAGGTTCTAACGAGCAGGGCCCTCTGATTCCTCTTGTACCAAATTGTATTTTGACTGTAATGTCTGCCTTCATTTTGTAAAGCACTGCGCAAACTGTTGGCGCTACATAAATCCTGTATAATAATAATAATTTCTGTAGTGTCCCAGGTCTCTTCAACAATATTGATCTCACCCCATATGTGACAGAATCAATTTACATTTTAGACCTTCTCAATGGCATACAAAATATAGGACCCTTGCTACCAAAAGCTTAAAGATCAACTCAGACTTCCCTCTCCCTTGTAGGCCCCCTACTGTAATTGTTACTTTTTTCACAAAACCTACCTTTTTCAAAGTCTTTGGGGAGATCATGAAGCACGGGGGCCTTTTTTGTCTCGTCACCACACAGCGGTGCACCTCACTAAAAGTCTTTGTGGTGATATGACACCGTGGGGTTGATCTACTAAAACTACAGAGTGCACAATCTGGTGCAGCTCTGCAAAGAAATCAATCTTTCACCAGGTTTTTTTTATCTTTGTCAAAGCTTAATTCAACAAGCTGAATTTAGAACCTGATTGGCTACCATGCACAACTGCACCAAATTTAGTACTCTGCAGTTTTAGTAATTCAACCCCTCTGTGTCACTATGTGATACTTCAATTAAAGTTGAAAAAAAAAAAGTAAGCTTCCTACTGGAGTTGACACTGACACTATCCTGTACAGTTAAACACTGAGTTTTACCATGCAGACATGTGAACCACCTTGCAGCAATACAGAGCACTTCATCACAATTGTACATACTGTTATTATTACTTTGTGTACACATGTGATTCACTTTATACTTTGTTGCATTTTTAGGATTATTTATTGTATCTGTTGGTTGAGAGCAGCACTGCTCTCATACATATTGGTTTGGGAATTATTTATACACTTTAAAGCAGCAAGTACCGCTAAAAAGGGTTACATCTCAAATTGTATTGCAGCTGATTGGCATAAGATTAGAAGTGTGAACCTAGCCTTATTGTCAGACCCACTATCATGCACTAATAAATAATTTTTTTATATATAATGGATTTGCAGACATATGTGGTATGGATTCATGTAACAAGTGCACCTTAAATGTAATGGGAAACTATATTTTTTTTCTATGGTTGCTTGCAATTATGGAAACTTCTTATAACTATCCTGGACCTGTTCTTGTGCTAAAAATGTCCGCTCATTAGCCTTATTATTTTAAACTTTCACAGAAATAGTGAAATAAAATGAAACAAAAAAGTTGATACCAATCAAATACACGGAAAAATGAAAAAACAGAAATACAAACACTAATTAAAATTAACTACCATTACTACACCCCACCGTTTACCCCCCTAAAAAAATACATACTTTTGTGAAGATCAGTGAGCAAAATTACAAAATAAGACATTTTCCCTCTAGCTTAATTTGACCAAGAGCTAATTAAATTTCACCAAAGTCACACTGCCTATCCCTAGTTATCAGGATGCAAAAGTAGTGTTGCTACTACTACTGACTTTGGTTTGGATGATGCAGACTCAGGGCTTGCAGCTTTACTTTTTTTTTACTACTACTTGAGACTCACTGACCTGGAACAAGTACATTTACAAGGTTCTAAGATGGCTATTTTTGTCTTGACTAGCTCAATTGGCTGGACTAATAAGGCAGAGAAAGCTTGATGGCATCAACCATCCAAGATGCAGGTGGAAGGCTTATGCAACGTCTGGACAGATAATGCTGGGGATCCAATTTTGTTACACATCTTTTCAGAAATATGCTAGCAAAACTATTAAATATTTGAAGACAATCATGGGATAATATTGGGAATGTTTACTTTTAGACTTGAGGCCCATCTTAGATGTTCTAATCTCATCCTCTTATATAAGGATGAACACTAGAGGAAGCATTTGCTCATCTGTATATAAAAAAGTATATTAAAAATATGATACAGCAAGTAAAAATATCAAATTGATAATTAGGTCCAGAAAATATTACAGAAAACATGTACTCACAGAAAATATACAAGATTTACCTTTAGGGTCCATGCACACTGGCTTAAAAAACACAGGGGTTGATTTACTAAAACTGGCGAGTGAAAAATCTGGTGCTGCTCTGCATAGAATCGAATCAGATTCCAGGTTTTTTTTTAAAAGCTTAATTGAATAAGCTGAAGTTAGAAACTGGCTACTATGCACAGCTGCATCAGATTTTGTACTCTCCAGTTTTAGTAAAACAACCCCACGGCTCCTAGAGTAGTTTAGCATTTTGCCCATAGAAGCAGCTAATGTTATCCTATGTGTCCATGCACATTAGGTAGTCTAGAGGCGTTTTTAAAGTTCAGTGTTTAGAGGCACAAAAAAACCCTGTTTTCTGTTTTTGAGAGCGTGTTTCTGGCAGAAAAAAAAAAACGCTAAACGCTCCTAAACGCTAGTACAAAAAAAAAGCTCAAAATTTCAGCAATTTTTTTTTCTGCCAAGAGCACTGCCATTTATTTAATGCACGGACCCTAAAAGGGAAAGTCTATTTTTTAATGTGTTCAATAAACACAACCTAATTTAACCCACCAATAAAAGCTGTATTTTTACTGATTGGAATACATAATGAATTGGTTCCTTTTCTTAAATAGTTCTGGGCAGTTATTCCTATACACTGCATATTGAGGGAAAATTGTGCCTGAAAAGTTAATCAACGGAAGCTAAGAAGAGACTACTAAAATGAATTAAAAGTTAGTAGAATGATGTCAGTGCAAACTGGAAAGTTATCTGCTAATGATGTTCTATGCTGCATAATTACTTGGGTTAAACTCATTTAAGAGAGGTTAATGGAGAAGCAAAAGTACAGGTTAAACTCAAAAAATTAGAATATCATACAAAAGTTCATTTATTTCAGTAATGCAACTTAAAAGGTGAAACTAATATATGAGATAGACTCATTACATGCAAAGCAAGATAGTTCAAGCCGTGATTTGTCATAATTGTGATGATTATGGCTTACAGCTCATGAAAACCCCAAATCCACAATCTCAGAAATTTAGAATATTGTGAAAAGGTGCAACACCGACGTACAAAGCTGTCCACCATACTGCCCTGAACTACATCACTGACCTAATATCCAAGTACCACCCAGCACGCACACTCC